CCATCCAGGAAACTGGATTTAATACTGTCTAATTCTAAAAAGTATTAAATTTGCTGAAAGTTGGATGCATTTTTTTACATGAAAGTCGTGAAATTAAGTTACATTGTATTATATTAAAAACCAGTTTGAGAAGCATAAGAAGATACCTCTATATTTCACCGATTCTTTTGAATTTCAACCACTTATAGTGTGAAGGATATATTCAATTAAATAACTGAAGAAATCAGTGCTGGGAAGATAAGGAATGAAATCAGGCTGAGGAATGCTATTAAAGAGGAGCCTTTGATGACCGAGCAGTAGATGTTCATACTGGCAAAGAGAGTTTCATAATAGGGTTTGAGAGGCCTGCGGTAACTTTGGAGATGCTGCAGAGATCTGCACTACATGTGGTGGAATCTAAAGACCCATACGTGTAGACAAAAATGTTGGGTTAATTAAATCATTCTGTCAAAAAAAAAAAGAAAAAAATTCAAAGGAATATCTGAATTTGATTTGTTCATTTTCATACAATCTTCAACTTTTGTCTAATTGAAATTATTTCTGTGATAGTTACTCTACCATCAAACGATGGGTTCTAACAATTTGACACAAAGGCGCGTATCAACTATTATACTCCATACATCTGAAATCTGGCAAGAAAAAAGCAATTGTTGAAATAAGGCCACTGATGTCCCATTATTAGAGTGCTACAAGTCATATATGTGGATGAAGATGCTAAGATTAGCTAAGAACAAAAGAAGCAGGTACAATAATCTAAAATCATAACGTTGTAACATGACGTTGACAGCATCCTGCTGTGGGGATGCCGGTCTTTAAGGCCATGCTGGAAGACGCTTTAGTTAAACTTCAGGCCTAAATCAAACTCTGAACATGTACCGAGACTTGAAAGTGGATGCATGCAAATGTTCTCCATCCAGTCAGAGTGAACCTGAAGGATTTTATAAAGTAGTTAAAGCCTCTAACTGTATAAACCTGGTAGAGGAAAAATCCCACAAGACTTTAGGCTGTTGTCTCGTTGTGTGGATGTTTTTAGAGGATTCAAACACAGATACAGTATCTTGGTGGTGAAAACAGAAGCATAAATCCAAAAATAACTGAACAAGAAACGCAGGACCCAGAATGAAGGGGAACACAAGGATAAAGGAAGGAATGAAGAGAATCCAGCACTGAACAAAGAATGGAGTAATCAACTGATTGGGAGCAGATGTAGACAGAATGATCTAGAAGGGAGCTGAGACAGACACAAGGGGGCAGCAGAGAGTAAACAAGAAATACATCAGAACTCTATTACAACCAGAAAACAACTAGAATGACACAAAATGGAAATGAAACCAATTAACTAGAAAACACTGAAAGACATGAATCAAAGTCTAACTGAAAACCCACAAAGAAAACTTAAACAGAACCAAAAAGTGGAGAATTATGACAGCTGTAATTGAAGGAACCGATACCATTTTGAGAGACAAAGGTTTCTTCAACTATTGTCACCCATTCCAGGTAGGCAATAAAAAGTGGATTCACTTTGTATTAGTCTGTTTCCTGCTTCACAAAGGTAGGCAGCAGCTGGACATGAAGCCATGATGGAAATTATTTTACATCCAGTCTGCAGTTCTTCATTTATACACAAACATCAGTTTCAAACAGATGGTATCGGCCGATACTTCGCAGCCAGGTATCGGGTATCGGGGCCAAAAAACGGCATCGGTGCAACACTAGTTCTAATGGGACAAAAGGATAAAGGAGAGGCACAGTTCTTACTTATAGTCAGAAACCAAACTATTTATAATGTTATTAATTAAACATAGCTAAAAAATGCAACAAGCTTGTGTAAATTTTAAAAACTCTCTTTAAGCCTTGAAGTCATACTACATAATGTATTTCTTATTTTATTTAATTTAAAGATAACATATATTTATTAAATGGATCCACATAAGTCATTTAGGCTGAGATGGTTATTTATTCAACCACTGGTTTGTTTGCTTCAATATTTAATGAGTTGTGGAACATGATGAAGACAGAGAGAGGCTTTTTATTAGGCTTAATGGTTCAATTCATCAGTGATTTATGGAGCAATGGTTTTTTCTTCTACTACTAATCATGTCAGGTTTTTGGCAATAGATCAGGAAGTGGAAGAGCAGATGAGGCACATTTCAGGTTTTCAAACCTTTTTCTACATTTTCTGTGTTAAATGGAAGCTCGGCTGGAGTTCCATGCAAACGGAGTTCGGTGTATTATATCAGAGGCTAATCTTTAAAAAGATGCATGATTGCTAAAGACAAAGAGTTTTACAGATTGAAATGTCAACTATGTTCAAAGCGTCAAAGGAGAGAGGTTGTTGGTTCAATATTCAATCTTCCTCATTTTATGCTCCCATGCATATTGGCAGTCTGTGTGCCAGCTGCTGTGTCTGATTGAGTCATTTCTAATCCTAGCTGAAAGCTTCCACATGTCGATACCTATGGAAATAAATGCATACTCCCACCAACAAAGTGCATTTCACCTGAATGGGCCTCTGTATTGTTTCCCATATGTGGCAATAGTTGCCGCCACTCATTCATTTTGGTTAAGAATAGTTTACAGGTTTTACAGAATCAAAGTCTGACCGAATGTATTTTCTGACGATCCAATCTGACTCAGATATATCTGTAAACAGGTCATTTCACTACTTTTATAAGAAAAGCAGGTTCTGCAG